TAATGCAGAACGATCTGCTCAAGACTCTCCAACATTTAGAGCTAAAAGATTAGCTATTCGACAAAATCAATTAGAGGCTATTATGAATTCTGTTGTGCCAAAAAATATTTTCATTCTTTCTTTCTTAAAATAGAAATTATTTTTAAAAATATTTAAAAAAAAATTTTAAAAGAACTAAAAAAAGGGAAAAAAATTTAGTTGAATGGCTACAAATTGTATTACTGCTTATAAACAATTCATTTCTGATTATCAAAGTGATACCACTTTTCAATCAACAAAAAAAGTTCCAAAGAATGTTAGTAAATCAATTATTAATTTAATAAAACAAATTAAAGAATCTAATACTACTCTTCAAGAAGTTATGTATGCCCATGCAATGAAAGAAGGATTTGTTATGTCAAATAGTATTGGGGATAGAATTGCAGAAGCAAGTTTATTAGCATATAATACTGAAGAAGATAAAGAAAAGAAAGAAATGATTCAAATTGTTAAAGAACATTTTAATATAAATATTGATGATCCAGAAAATACTGCTATTGGAAATTACGCATGTGATAAGTTGGTCAAAGTACTTAAATTTCATTGTAATCAAATTGGAGTCCGTGCTTCTATAATTGATGTTAATATTAATCATGAAAATAGAAGAAAAAATACGTCATATTTCACAAAAGATTGTTCATTTGATGCATGGAAAATTTTAAGAAGAGGAACAATTGTATTATATAAAATGCCTGCAGGAGAATATCAATTTGCACGTGTTGCAAAAGATTGTCGTCTTGTAAATGAAATTATGGATGTCCCTCTTTATATTTCTGCTGATAAAACAAAACAAATAGGAATTTGTTGGAAAGAGTTGTTAATAGTCCCTTCTGAAGTTGTTGATCCAAGTTCATTTGGAGGATCACTAAGTGCTATATGTAAAGATTGTGCAGAAGTAATGATGATTAAAATTATGAATGAGATGAATGACTTTGTTATGAACAAACTTAATACTGATTTCAAGATTGATGTTAGTATTCTTTGTAAAAAAGATAATTTAACTAGAAGAAGTGTAAAAAAAATTAAAAGTGTTCAAGAACAATTAAAAGGTCTTGGTGAAAATCCACTATCTGACTTTTATGAAGAAGTTACTGAAACGTTAAGAGTTAAATTAAGTTCAATGGTTGATCTTGTTAGAAGAGGAGTAGTTCCTACTTATGTAGTTTTCCAAAATAGACCAAAGAGAGATATTATTATGGGAGTTGCATATCTAGAATGGGCTCGAAATAAATATTCTCAAATTCTTAAGAATACTGATAAATTAATAAAAGTTCTTTCTAAAGAAAAAGAATTAATTCTTAACGGTTCATTACCTAATGAAATGAAAGAATGGCAACAACAAACTTTATCTGAAAAATCTTTAGAATTATTATGTGAATATGGTTTTGATGATTCTATTGTATTAAATAACTCTACTAATATAGAAGGAGTATTATATAATAAGTTTATTCTTGACCAATTATTAAGTAATTTAAATGAACCATCAATTGATAAAGAAATACAAAGTCTTATTACTGAAATGACTGATAAATTATTAAATTATTTTGCTAAGTTAAGAAGTACTGCTGTTTCTTTTTCAAAACTTGGAGATAAAGGAAAAAGTGATGAACAAGTTATAGAAATTTTAAGTACTTATATTACTTCAAATAAAGAAGACCTTATTGATTCTTCTCTTCAAATTATTGTTGAAGAAATGAAACGTGTTCTTGATTTAATTAAATCATCAGATAAACAATATAATAATAGAGATGGGAAAAAAGGTATTTATGATCTTTTTGTCGATATTCTTAAAAACCTTTCTCAACAATATTCAGATTGTATCGAACAAAATAAAGAAGCAATAGAAAGATTTAATGAAGAACCATATATTGAAAAGAAACAAAACATTGATCAAGGTTTAAGTCTCGCACCTCATGTTCAAATGCAAAGATGGTTGAGCAAGAAACAAGTCAAACAAAATTAATTTAAGTTTTTTTTCTGATTCGTTATCTTTTTATTAGGATTGATTCGAAAGTCTTCTTTTTATTTCTAAATCTATTTATAGAGTTCTTCTCCGTTGCCTATTGAAACAAATAGTATCTATCTTACATTTTAACTACCTTTTTACCTTTAACAAACTTCTAGATTTCAGTAGAATGTCTTCTCAATTTTTTTACTTACTAAAATAGTAAAGTATAATTTGGAATTATCATTTGAAAGAAGAAAAAATATGTTTTACCTGGTTCAGTAGCAGAATTCATTTTATACCCATTTTTTTTATTGCCTGTCTTAAACTTAATTTTAGGAGAAAGTGACTGTTAGAAATTATTTTTGAAAAGATTCTGACAATATAAACATATAAACTACCAAATTCATTCATTAATTGTAGAAATGAAAATGTCTGATATTTCATTTGGTTGGAGCAAACTTTCTAAACATGATCAGGTTAATATTCTTCAGATATTACTGATTCTTCCTTTTGTATTAATTTGTATCCCATCTTCTTTCAGTAGATCTAAACAATATGACACTTTCCCTTCTCCAATTAATTTATTATTCGCTATTCCTCAGTTTATTATTATTTATATTCTTCGAGTTATACTTGTTGAGAATATATTTCTTAAATTAGGAGAAAAAGTTGTTGTTCATAAACCACAATGGACAGAAGAAGTAAGACAAGTCAGAATTCAACGTTTCTCCGTTTGTTTCTTCAAAATGTTGTATTTCTTTATCACTGCCCCTCTTGGAGTTGGATTTTTTAGAAATGAAGATTGGTTCCCTGCTCAATTATTTGGTCAGGGTAAACAAGATTTAGAATATATGTGGGAAGATTTTCCATTCCAATTACCTACTTGGAGAATTACTTTCTTTTATTGTTGGGAATTAGGATATCATTTCCATTCACTTGTTTATCATATGCAAAGTGAAAAGAGAAATGACTACTTTGAAAATTTATTACATCATGTTGCTACAGTATTTCTTATTGTTTTTAGTTATTTGAATAACTGTGGAAGATGTGGGTGTCTTATTCTTATTCTTCATGATATAGTTGATGCAATTATGTATCTTGCTAAATCTGTTAATGATTTAAAAACTCAAATCCCTGCTTATATATCTTTTTCTCTCTTAGCAGTATCTTTCCCTAGATTTAGAATATACTTTTTAGGATGGTATTTGATTCCAGCTGCTGGTGGTTGTATCAAATATGTCCCTGATGATCTTCCAGGTGGATTCCTTGTGTATTGTTTGATTATGTCACTTCTCTGTATTCTTCTTTTACTTCATATATATTGGTTCACATTAATTCTTAAGATGGTATATAAAATAATTACAGAACGAGGAAGAATTGCAGACCCTCATACTATTGGTAACTAAAAAAAAAATTAGTAAATATTTTGTATCCATTTATTTATTCTGTTTTAAAAAAAGAAAAGGAAGATAAACAATAAATAAGAAATTTTTAATGGATTTGATAATTTTGATAGAGATATATCAAAATATTTTTTTCAGTAAACAATTAAATTATGGTGTTTTGGCTAAACAATTTTTTTTTAAAATAAATATAGAATTTGATGATGAACTATATTCTCAAATCTAGTTTCAAACAGAATCAAAAAAAAAAATATAAAAAGTCTTTGGTTGTTGGTTTTGTCTAACAATAACAGAGAGTTAACTAGATATTTAGTTACTAGTCACAAGAATAGTTTATCCATTAAACAACAAAAAGAAAATACAAAGTATTGTGATTTTTAATAAAAAACCACAGAAAATATTCCTAAAATTAATTCAATTTTATGACAATTCCCACTCTAAATACTTTGCTAAGTCAGAAGCAATATCATCACACCCTCCTAACAATGCGACGTCCCTTCCTAGATTATCATAACACATCATTTTACCAACTTTTTCTCTATTAATACATACACGAGGACAATTAATAGAAACATGGTCAACTAAATTAGCAAAAGGATAAACAACAAGAGCAGTTCCAATGATGAGTAACATGTCACAATCATCAAATTTATTCTTTATGGATTCAAAAAATTCATCTGGTAAACTTTCATTAAAGAAAACGATATCAGGTTTAACTAATCCTCCACAACTACAACGAATGATTTCTCCTTTCTTAATAGACTCAATGAATACTGAAGTGTCAGGATACTTTTTATGGCAACTAAGACAATGAGATGTTCTAAAAGTACCATGACTACAAATAACTTTATCATTAGGTATACCAGCAACAGACTCAAGACCATCAATGTTCTGAGTATAAACCATTTTAAGAATTCCTTTATCATTTAGTAACTTTAAAAATCTATGACATTTTGTTGGAAAGTATTTGCCTTGTCCAGGAAACATATCTTTCATTACTTCATAGAATGGTGCAGGATTAGATGGAAAATAATTCATATCAAATACAGCTTCTGGATATGGAAGATTATATTTTTGTAAATTAAAATATAGTCCAGTTCCTGGTGATCTAAAATCAGGAATTCCTGCTGTTGTAGACATTCCAGCTCCAACTAACGCAATAATATTTTTTACATGGTTCTTTTGAATATATTTTGCAACTCCTTTTACATCATATGTTTCAAAAAGGGGTTGATAAAATTTAAAATTTGAAGTATGGTCTTCCAATGCTAATTGAAACAATACATTTAATGAGTTATTAATGACATAACTATTACATTCATAACACCAGAAATTCATACTTTGTACATTAAATACTACTGGATGTCCACGTTTTAATGAATGCTTTTGGGCATGTCCATTACAATATCTAGAACAACCAATATGTAAACAGTGTAAGCAGATCCATATTTCTTTTTCATTACATGAATTACAGGTATGTTTTCCTGTGATATGAGAATATCCTCATAAATTTAAAAAAAAACGAACTAAGAGATATTAAAAATGATTTTGGTGAATATGTAGCACTAATGAAATGACAACACTCTTTAGGTATCACTGAAAATTGCAATGACATTGAATCACAGATCTCAAAAAAAAAGGTTTAAATACCCTAAGTCTTCTTTCATTAAATAAGATATAAGATTGGTTTAATCTTATATAACATTTTAAGAATGTATAAATACCAAACTCATAAAAGTATCAAATACAATTGTATAAGCTAATGAATTTGTCGTATAGGAATGTCTCAAGAATAAGTTTTAATTCTCTTTTTATTAACCAATAACATTTTTTAATTTTATTTTTTTCAATTAGAAAAACAAAATATAAAACTAAATATTTCAATGCAAAAAACACAAATTGAAGAGCCAATTGATTTAATTAAATTATCACTTGATGATAATATATTTATAAAATTAAGAGGTGGAAGAAAATTAAAAGGAAAGTTAAGAGTTTGTTTTAAACAAACAATTTGTATATAATAAAATAATTTATCATTTTAGGCATTTGACCAACACCTTAATATTATCTTAACTGATGTTAATGAAACATATCAAGAAAAAACAAGAACTTTTCCAGTATTATATGTTCGTGGTGATTTAGTAGTCCTTATTTCTCCACAAAAGGAATAAAATGAATTTTTTTTCAAAATAACAAGGTTAGTCTTTTTTTTTAACTCAAATCAATCAATTCTCCATCTACAATTTCTGCATTAAATTCTTCAGGTGTTTTTGGGCGTGGAGATTCTTGGATTTCTTCTTGTTGTTTCATCATTTTTGAAACATCTTCAACATCGTCATTTTCAATTTTAAATATTGCTTCAGTTTCATCAATAAGTTTAATTGGTTCTATTTTTTTATTAATAGTATCATTAGAAGATTGAGTTAAGAATTGAACAGAATTATCTATTTCCAATTCTAGAGGTTTAATTTCTGTTAATGTTTTTGTTTTTTTTGTAAATTCTTCCAAATCTTTCTCAAAATTCATATCATCTAATTCTATTTTAAATATATTTGCTTCTTTGGCAATTACTGGATTAAGAGATTCAATTCCAATAATAATAGTATTTATTGTCTTTGATAATCTTTCATAAACTTGTTGAATTAATGAAAGAGCTGATGATATAACTGAAGGCATTTCATCTAAATAAATTGTTTTTCTACATTCATTTGCTTTTTTAACACTTTCAATATAATTTTCTTTTATGTGTTGTTGTTTTTCAACCAATAATTGTTTCTTCTGAACCATTTTATCTATTGGTTGAATATTATTAGATAATGCACTATTCAGTTCTTTAGTAATAATATCTAAATCTTGACATATCTTATTATATAAACTTTTTTGTTTTTCAACAATTTTAGTACAATTTTCGTAAATTTGAACTTTCTTTTCCATTTCAACTAAAATTTTTTTTTTTTCAGTTTCATAATTTTTTATAAAAATTTCTAAATCATTTTTTATACTAATTAAGCGTTCTGATGTTTCTTGATGAACATCACATATTAATGAACCTTGCGTATTAATTTCTTTAAATAAAGTTGCCATTCTAGAGTCCATTAAATCAATTGGATTTGTTGTATCAAATCTGCTAATTTTAAGAGGTGTTGTGGTTTGAGACTTTAATCGTTTGGCATAATTTGCTTCAATTTTCGATCTTGTTTCTAAAATAACCAAATAGTTTTTTGTTATTGAAGATAATATTTCTAGTTTATCTATAATAGCTTGTTGTTCAAACAAAATTGGTGTTATATCAGCCATATTTAAGGGTATTATTATTTTTAGTTCATCTTAATTATTCTTTTTCAATTAAAAAATATGAAATGAATAAAGAAAAATATAATTAAGTTTTATTTCAATTTCACTTCTTTAATGAATCACATTTATATGTTATATTCTCTCCATACATTACATTTTTAGGTAATTTCATTTGTCTTAATGATACACATGAGTCAAATGCATAATCTCCAATAATAATATGTTCAGCTAATGACTCAAACTCAATTAATCCAAAACAATCTTTAAAACAGAATGCACCAATCTTTGTTATTGATGATGGTAAACTTATTTTGTTAATACTTACTTCTCGGAAACAATTATCTCCAAGTTCTTGAACACTTTGTGGAATATCTTTTCCATAAACTATTCTATCATTTTCAGTATAAATAATATGGGAACACTGAATAAATCCAATTTCAAAATAATTTGCTTGAGTAAATGAAATTGGATAATTGTATTCATAAATTGGTTGTTCATTAATAACTAATCGAGTTAAATGACAACAACCCTCAAAACAATTTGTTTCAACTATTTGTAAGTTTGATGATAATGTAACAGAAGTTAACTTGCAACATGAACAAAATACACCACCAAATAAAGCAGTTACTGAATTTGGTATTTTAATTGATTCAAGAGATGAACAATACATAAAACATTCTTTGTCTATTACTTTCAATCCTTCATGTAATATAATTTTAGATAATTGACCAGACCGTTTGAAAGCATCAACTCCAAGTCTTGTAACAGTACTTGGTATTTCAATTTCTTTTAATGACAGTGTTTTAAAAATAGATAAATTATCAATATTATTAACTTCAGGTAACACAAGTTTAGTAAGAGAATAACATTTATAAAAAAGACATTGACTAATAGTTTTTAATTTAGAATTTTTTTCAAAAATAACTTCTTTGAGATTTTGACATTGATAGAATACAAAATAACCGATTTTAGTCACCGAAGATGGAATAGTAACTGAAGTTAATGAACAACATTGATAAAATGCACCTGACTTAATTTTTTCTAATTGACTTGATAATACAACTGAAGATAATTTTCTATTATTAAAGAAACAAAATTTTGGTATAGAGTTTAAAGAAGAACAATCAACATGTTCCAATTCATAACATGACTCAAATAATTCATTTCCAATTTCTTTAATACTTGAAGGAAAAATAAAGGATTTACTTATTCGACTTTCTCCAAAACATCCTATTCCAATTCTTGTAATGTGTGATGGTATAATTATTTGTGTATTTTCTTCTAGTCTTGCATCTAATCCAGTAATATTTGGTGTTAATGAAATATTATTTTTGTAATCCTTTGTTGTTAATGAAATATTTGTACAACAAACACCACATCGTTGTAAATAGTATGCTTCTTCAATAGATACAATTCCTGTAAAAGGACCATTAATTGTAATTGAAGTCAAAGACCTAACTTTCTTAAATATATATGATCCATATTTACATTTATTTGGTAAACTAATACTCAACAAATTAGTACATTTACTAAAACAATTTTCTCCTATAGATGTAACTGTAGATGGGATAACAATTTTTGTTGCTTTACATGAAACAAAACACATATCACTAAGTGAAATAAAACAAGGTGGTAGTACAATTTCTTTTAACAATGTATTAGTAAACATGTTTGGTCCTGCTTTTAGAGAAATTCTATCATGTACAAATCTATTAAATAATAATAAGTCATTGTTTGGAATGGTGTTCATAATAATACATTTTATTTTAATTCTAATACGTGAAAGAAGAATAAATTCATCATTAGAAACATCAAAAGGATAAAACCCTTCATTATCTAATTGAATATATATATTTTTAATTGAAACACATCCATTGAAACAATTAGGTGCAATTTGTGTTACACTAGAAGGAATTATTATTTCACTAAGACTTGTACACCTGTTGAATGCTTCACTTTTGATTTTTCTAACAGAAGGAGGAATATTTAATTTTTTTAATGAACTACAATTATCAAATGCACGTTCATAAATTTCAGTAACACTATATGGAATATCAATAGAAACTAACTTAGAACAATTAAAAAAACAACCTCGTTGAATTGTGTTAATAGAATACTTAGGTAATACTACCTTTTTCAAATTAATACAATTACTAAATGCAAATGGTGAAATTACAGTTACACTATTTGGAAAATAAATAGAAGTTAATTGGGAACAATCTGAGAAACATTCTTCATCTAAATGTATTATTGATGATGGAACCCAATAACTCTCTAATTTTGTATTCCCAGAGAAACATCGTTTTCCAAGAATTGATGGAGTTAATGGAATATTTAATTTGGTTGAGTCATTTGGTCCAGACACATTAATATTAACAGGACTAATTCCATGATTGAGTAATAGTGGTAATTCAGAAGTACTTATTTCAAAAGGATAATCACCATTAGGGTCTCTTGGGACATCAAACTCTGTAATTGCTGAACATCCTTTAAAAGAATTAATTGAAATATTTGCAACTCCATGTGGAATAATTAAATGAACTAAACTAGAACAATTTAAAAATGCACCACCTCCAATAAATTTTAATGAATTAGGAAGGTCAATTGTTCTTAATCCAGTACATGACTCAAATGCTGATGAACCTATTTCAATTAAATTTCCTAAATTTACAACTGTTGATAATCCAAAACAAAAAGAAAAACATTTTAATGGAATTCTATTAATATTTGAAGGTATCGTAATACTTTGTAATGATGTACAATAACAAAATGCTTGATTTCCAATTTCTGAAAGATTAGATGGAAGTTTTATTTTTTCTAAACGTTGACAAGCATAAAAACAGCCAGCACCAATCATAGTAACACTTTCTGGTAATACAATTTCTTTTAATGATTGACAATTTGCAAAAGAACAAAATGGAATTGATTTAATATTTGTAGATAATATAATTGTTTTTAATGAAATACATGATTTAAAACATGAACGTTGTAATTCAATAACAGTATTAGGAATTTGCATTAATTCTACTGTATCTGTTTCACTAAAACATTCTTTTCCTATTTTTTTTACTTCTACTGGTATTGAACTTCCAAATGTAATAAAGTCTTTTTTAGTATACATAACATTATCACAATGAATCCATTTTTTTTTATTTTCAAGATAACAATAATATGGAACATAATATTTAATTCTATATAATAAATGGTTCGAAGGTATTTTCTCTTCAAATGGATAATATAAAAACTGTGTTTCTATGTTTCTAAAGAAATTTAAATCATAAATAGGAATAGGATTATAACGAAATTTATCAATAGTATCTTTAAATTTTTTACAAACTAATACCACCTTCTTATAATCATCTTTTGTAATAAAGTATTTAGATACAATCATTAATGAATATCCATCTAACTTCTTGCTCATAAATATTTATTTTTCTAGTTTCTTGACAACACAAAATCTTTTTTTCTTAAAAAAACCCTTTTTCCTTTTCTATCATTCCTCAAAACTAAATCTCAAAATTATTTACTAATGACTCGATTGGAACTTGTTTATTTGATGAAAGTTGTTCTTCAATTTAATAGATTTGAAGACGTCCTAGAGTTTATTTTTATTAATAAGAAATGTGCTGACACAATTAAGGCATTAAAAGTAAATCCTCCTTTTAATGATGAACTTTCATTAAAAAAATTCTTTAAATTTTTTACACCTGAAACTATAGACAGTGTTTTTTTAATAACAGATATGTCAATTTATAATAAAGTAAAATGTATTAGAGATGTAGTTGTAGATGCTTTTTCTGGTATTAACATTCCAATTAAACAAATAATTCCACTTCTTTCAAAGATTGTTTCGATACGTCTAACTGGACCTTCAGTACATGAAGAAAAATATAAATCAATAACAGCCGATTTTTTAAAAAACATGCAACTAAATTTATTAACTTACAATGTATTTGTGGAGATTTAAAATTAATAGTTAATTTCTTTAAGAATTATTCATATAATGGAACAAATAAAAATACTAATTATCCAAAAAGAATTATTATTGACAATTATGAAGATCAACCATTAATTTTAAATAACTATACTGTTAAATTAATTCATAAACTAAAATCTTATTTACGTTTAAATGATGAAATTCAAGTTATAATACTTTCTTATTTACATCCTTCAAATCCTGAATTATTAAAATGTTTAAATGAGTTTGCTTATTATTATTTTGTTATAACTCCTCAACAATGTATTCAGAAAGAAGAAAATATTTGTTTATTTAGAGGAAAATTTATTTTAGAAGAAACAACAGATGGAAGTAGGTTTGAGCATATACTTCAAAAAGCTTGTGCTCAATCAATTCAATTTAGTCATATTCATTCAATAAAAACTCATTGGGATATTCCAAATTTTATTAAAATATTAAAAATTTATGAAATGGATTTAAGAGAAAATCAAAAAGAAAGTGATGAAAGCCAAGAAGAAGGTGGTAGTGATGAAGATGATTTACAAATAGAATATTTTTTAAAGACACCTTTTCTAGAAGAATTATCTCTTTGTGATTGTTCAAATGTTTTATATTATTTCAACACTTTTACTATTAAAAAAATTAAAATGATTCGTTGTTTTAATCTTTCTTTGAAAGATCATGACATTTCACCATTTCCTCATCTTAGTAAAATATCTATTTGTGGTTCAGAAAAATGTTTTGTTGAAATTACTAATAATGTAATGGATGCACTATCTATTGTAGGTTCTAATTATTGTGTTATCAAAGGTTCAATTGATTGTTGTCATAGAGTCAATATTAGTAATCTTTATAAATGTGTTGTTCCTTGTATTAATTTTTTCAAATCAAATATCCATATTGAAGGTTGTATTAAAACATTTTTTTCAAGTACGAAAATACTTGATGATATTACTATTTCTGAAGATAATGATGATGAACGTGATGAAAAAATTGATACTATTTCTGAAGATGATACAGAAAGAAACAATCCATTATCATCCAAAGGTATTAGTTATGAAGATTTGAATCGTTTAATGTTTAATACTTTTAATTATCCTTGTGGTGATGTCCAAAATTATTTGAAAGATTTACTTACTTTTTACAAACCAAGAAAATTTAATATCAAAACTGATAGAATTGAATTAATTGATAATTCTATTAAACGCTTAATACCAGTTTATGGTGAAAACTTCGACGCTTTAGTTTCTGATGGATTTGTAATACCTGAAGATAATAGAAAGATGAAAATTATAACACAAAATAAAGTTGTGGAATCTGATGCTCTGATTCATTACTTTGAAATTGAAGTCTATGGATATTGTCTCCTTTCTTTTGGATTATGTTATGACGAAAATTGCTTATTTGATTTTGATGAACAACACGTAGGATGGTTCGAAGGAAGTATTGGGTATCATTCAGATGATGGCTACATTTATAATGGTGATGGTAAGGGTAAACCATATGGACCAGCTTATGGAACAAAAAAAAATGGACACAACATTGTTGGTTGTGGATATAACACAATTAATAAATCAGTTTTCTTTACATATAATGGAGAAAAATTAAAATCTATAAAAATGGATGATTTAATTCCAATATCTGCTGTCATTGTTGTAGAAATGTTTAACAAAATTACAATCAATTATGGAGATACCCCATTTACATTTGATTTACTAGAAGAAATAAAACACGTTGACCCAGAGAATATATCAGATATTATTACTAATTGATGTTTCATACATTCTTATTTTTTTTGAGTATAATCTTTAAAATAACAAAAGATGAGCGATATCAGAAAAGCACATGACAACTATACTACACAAACAATTCTCAAAAGAATTCAAGAAGAAAGTGATCGTACTGGAGAAAGTTATGAAACAATCAAACAATCAACTGATAGAATTAAATCATCATTAAATACTCAAAATAATATTTCAGAAACACTTAACACTTCTAAAAGACAATTATTTTTTATGAAAATAACAGCAAATGCAGAGGATTTATTTTTTAAATCAGGTCTCTTATTTTATGTTTTAGTGATACTTTATATCATAGTTTCAAGAACTATTGTTTCATGGTTCTTTTCTAATTAATTTAACTTCTTTTAATTTTTTTTTCTTTTTTAATTATTCAAAACTCTTTCAAAACTAATTATTCAGTTATTTACTACTTCATTATGTCAAAACAAAATTACCAAGTCGTTCGTTACAAATATGAAAAAATAGTTTTTGAAGCTTTATTTAAACCTGGTTGTGCACTTAAAGTTCGTGAAGGTAAATTAGGAATTTCTAATGCAACATTTGCAGATGAAGTTTTTATTGCTCCACACAATAAAGGAAATATTGCCAAACCAGCTGAACTTTCAAAAGCATTTCCTGGTAAAAGTGGTGATGAAATATTGAAGACTATAGCTGAAAAAGGTGAAATTCAATTTTCTAGTGATGAAAGAAAACAACAAGTAGAAGATAAAAAGAAAAGAATTGTAGAATATATTCATAAATATTATGTTGATCCAGCTACTGACAAACCACATCCAATTATTAGAATTAATAATGCTTTAGATACTATGAAACTTGTTATTGACCCTGAAGCTCCAATGGAAAAAGAAATTAAAGAAATTGAAAAGAAACTAAATGACATTCTCCCTTCTAAACGATTAGAAGTAGAGGCTATAGTTACAGTTCCAAATGATTTTTGTAAACTTGCTGATGGTGCTATGAAGAAGTATGGAAGAATTACATCATCTTCAGCTAACGGAAATTCAAAAGTTTACAAAGTTTCAA